TTAGGGCATGTCACTATTTTATTCTATTTAGTTGTGTCTTAAGTTAGCAAAGATACATTAGAGTGTAACTATGTATTATGAAGTATTTTTATATATATGCAAAGTAATGTTTGAGCATATGATATACTATGAAAAGTTTCAAATTTTTATGTCATTTTTATTATGAGTATGCAATGAAGGTACGCTAAGAGGCTTGTCTTAGACCTACGAGAGGTCACAGATACCGTGTTAAGATTCTAGAATATCATAACCTCTAGGGTATATACCCTCGGTTCATAATACATACCTGAACGTTTTGAACTTATCCATATTATAATACATGTTAAACACCTCTATAACAAATTTTGGAATTAAATTCTGACTCCTAAAACCTCATGAAATATGAATAGGCACAGTAACCTATATTTTGCGATTCACTGGACGTCATGTACTTTTCTTGACATTTTAACTCTAAAACTTTCTAAGTGATTTATATAATTTTTAGGCCTTAAAACAGTTGTACAAGGTCTAGTTCATCATGTAAGGCTCTTGACTAAATCGTTGACTTTAAGAGTGATCTCATCTTGGCCTCGTACTCTACATTTGAGACTTCGAGCACCTCTAGTACCTCTTTGATGATTGTAGCCTTCAGAAGGATGTGGACTCCTTGGATGTAAATGGTAGGACGCAGATCATCCCATGAACAATAGGTATAATGGCATAGAATTCCCTCACTCATTCAGAATGTGCAGCGGGGGAGACTCTTTCAGTGGATTCCATATGAACTTCATCAATCAAGCATAAAAGCCAGGCGCCTTCTCCTCTAGTTTAAGAAAGACAAAACCTCTCACAGTAAAATTTGTTGTTTCGGTAGTCGTGATGCCTTTTCTGACTAGAATCATTGGGAAGCTAGGAAAAAGGTAGATTTTCCTCGTTAGCAGCAATGATTTAGAGAGCATGCACAAGATTGGGAGATATACTTTAGAACTTGATGGAATTAGACAATATCAAGTTAGGTGAAAAATAAATTTTTCTAATCCTTAAAAAGGACCCATGCTACTATTCCCTCAATCTCGCCAACAACTGCCAAAATCCCACTAGAGAGGGATGAGGGAGGCCACCACAGCGGGATAAAGTCCTCTTGAGTGTCCTTCATCAGGAATGAACTCCAGGCCTTATCGTCTTCATCCCAAAACCCTTATTTTCATCAAAATTTCAGTATATCAAGACCTATAAATTTCAGTATATCAAGGACTATAAAGTAACATGGCACATAAAATATGCAACTATTTATACAAAATGACCCCTAAATGATGTCCTCGTTGGATTTTTTTTCACCAAGAAACTTTTCAAATTCCCCCACCCGTTTTGGCACCGACTCGACCATATTTTTACAAAATACTTACACCCAAGACATTATTGAGACGTTAGGGGACATAGGAGAATTGTCCATGCTACGTTTTTCTATCAAAGTAAAATATAAGTTTATTTTTCAATAACTACGAAAAAACCGCTTAAATTCACTATGTTAGTTGTCATGAAATCGTAGTGAGCATTGGGAACATCACATTTACCTTGAAAATGACGTTTAGAGTGAAGTGTTTGAGAGGATTTTGAGAATTTTTGAATGAGAAAGGGAGGAAATGAGGAAACCATTCCCTTTTCCCCCTTTTAGTGTTTTTAATATCCAACTACTTCTGGAGATTTCATGGCACAATGGTTCCGCCTCAGTGGGGAGGTTGCCATTGTGGCATGTCAAGTTGTGTAAAATTGGACGTGACTCGTTTTGCGTATGTTGGACCGGTCCTTTGAGTAAAGCATCTTTCATGTTTCAACTTGAAAAGTTAGCATTATTCATAGCCTAGTAATGGACTGATTCAATAGTCTGGAAGTACTCCAAAAGGGCGTATATTTATCCATCCGCTAGTTATGTTACTATTGTAATTAGGAAAGAAAAACGTCTGAAAAAATGGGCCATCACCCTGCTAGAGCGGGCTAGCTGCTGCTAAGTGGCGATGCTCTAGGGGGATAAGTTACCTGCAAAGCGGGAATGAGCAAGAAAAAATGTAAATAACATAGAGTTTGATTTTCTCATTTTTCTAAAAACATCGAAAAGAGGCAAGGATCACCCTAAAAATCCACAAAAAGCTACTCAAAGATTGGGAAGGAAGGAGATAGAGATTTCTGATCAGGAGATGTCGATAGCTTACGAAATTTTGGTCAAATCCACAATCTTGTTGTCTAGAAACCACAATTCGAGCTGCAAACCCTCGGCGAATTCACGGAGCCCAAGTAGGAAAGGTTTATTAATTGAGTAGTTAGGAATGTGTTATTCATTATGTGATATATTGATCTTGATAGTAAAATTCATGTGTAGGGATTTGTGCACAGAAAATAGAATGTTTATACTTTTATCTTGGGTATTACATCAGACATTTAAAGTTTAACAAAGTTAGTCAATGAAATAGGTCTAGGTGATGGATTTATTTCCTAATTGTGAGATTCATATTGACTTATTGAAATATTGTATGTATGCGTGTACGACGAATGTTAAATGGTGGACGAAGAATGATAAATGGTGGAACCGAACCCAATAAATTTGATTAACAATAATATGTTCAACGAACTAGTGTTTTGTCTACATGAATTGAGTATGGTACAATTACGGAAGTTATTGTGAATGTACTAACTGGGATCAGATGTCACTTACCGACATACATATTTGGAATGGGTGTAACATTTTGAGATACTAACTGTGATTGAATGCTACGTAGCGTTGTTGGAATGAATGTCACAATTTGATACACTAACTTGGAATGAGTGTGACAATCCGACAAACTAATAGTTTTTCTATCGATCCCAAGAGAGGACCATTAACTTGCCATATATGTGTATTGTTGAGACTGTGGAACTGTACATTGCCTTCGAATTGATAATTGGTTTGTGCTTTTACATCATAAATATATGTGCGGGTCACAATATTGTAAGTTAGTTGGGTATACTTATTTAGGTTACGGATTGGGAATGGTTAGGTCCTAATCGGGATTTGATGGGATAAGCGGGGGCTAAGTTTCTTGGTGTCATCATGTGTTACTTGGAGAAGTGGTGACAGGTGTTGCGATAGACCGTGAATTAATAATAGTGGAAATGTGAGGTAATAAGGAGTAGTTCATGGGTGGTTGGCCGGTTTAGTAGTGATTACATTTAAAACTCCTCTAGCGACTAGAAGTCAAACTATGATGAAGTCTAGGATGATTAAGGGGTAAAAAATCAAGGGTGCTAGTGTATTGTAAAATAACTGAAATTGGCCAAGACAAGTAAATATGGTGGAGGAATGAATAGTCTTATTACATGGTTTTCTGGTCGATTTCTTATATTGTGTGGTGGGTATCAGGTTGAACGATGATGCCTACAAGTACTTGTGATTTGGTACTGATACTACACTTGCTATGACTTTTTGACATAGTCTGGATGCAAGTTCGGTTATAATTTGTAGGTGAAGACCAAGGAAATGTCCAACAGCTTCTAGTTTTCTTCCATGTGGTGGGAGCTATGTTAGGTACAATTTTATGTCTTGTACTCTTAGTAGCTCTTGTACTTTTTTAGACTAGATCTCTGTGGCGTTAATTACTTTACGAGTGTTAACTTAAATAGTTTTTAGACACTTATTTTATGAAAGCTCTTCATTAAGTTGTTTATCTTTGTTTTCTTAATCTCCCGTATTGTTTTAATTATTTGGATCAAAGGTTCTCCTACTTAGGTGTTAGAGTAGGTGCCCGCACGGCTCGATGGGTTAGATCGCGAAATTTACTAACTTGTTTCATGAATAATTTTCATCTCTTGTAAGAGATCTAATTGTGTATATTTGTGAGTACTTATTTCTTGTTGTCCTATCAATTTGATATTTTTGTTACTAAGTCTTACTTATTCATTACAATTTTTTAAAATTGTTTTTTTAATCACAATTTAATTTTTAACCTACTAATTCTTACTTATTAGTGAGACTTATCTGCGTGTTATGAAAACTAATTATTTATATGTTATCATATATATATATATATATATATATAAGAAAACCTTAGACCCGCTTATGTGGTGCCATCAAAAATCAGAATTTCCTTTTAAATTTATTTATTTTCAAAACCTAGCCTTCCTCTTTCATGAAAAATCTTGACTCTTATGTGAAGTTACGATTTCGATGAAGAGTCGTGACTTTTACAAAAAGTTGGGAATTTTATGTATATTTAAAACTTTATTGAACAGTTGCGACTTTAATGAAGATTTGCGACTTTAATGAAGAGTTGCAACTTGTATTAAAAGTTATGACTTTTTATGAAAGGTTATGGGCTTTTCGAAAAGTTGCAACTTTTCAAAATAGTTGAACCAATTCATCTAAGGCACGATAAATATTTGTGTATTAGCCCTTTGTTGTCTATAAATAGAGGGATTTCCTCTCATTTTATAACAACGAAAATTTAAACCTCTTCTTCTTCGTCACAACTAATTTTGGTGTACTTTGTTCCAGTTAAGTGGCTCACTGACGCCGTTGCTTATGTTAAGATCATGGTATGTTTTTTTTTATTCCTTCATTTGTGCCTATGTTATTAAGGATGAATGATAAGATGTAACAAATTTCACTTTCCTTTACATTATTAATGTTTGTGCCCACGTAATGTTGTATGTGAGAGAAAATAGTGTTTTAGTTTTAATAACTGACCAATTCATAATATTATTTTATAAATTCTCTGATATGAAATTCCCTCGTGAAGCATGAGTAATTTTACTAGTATGTTTCATAAGATAAAGACAGTATGATTATTGATGAATCGGCGATTTTGACTCTTTTAGGGCTTAATGTTTAAGGAATTAGTGTCCTCAATGTCTATTTTATGCTCATAACTTATGTAAAAATGTTAATATGCAACAATGAAGGTAAAAGAGCATGGTAAGGACACTACAAAAAAAGTTGAATGAAAACAAAACGGGTAATCCCCAAAATCACTCCGCAATTCTCCAGCAAATACGACAAAAGAAGTTAGAGTTTAGAATGCATTCATCCAGAAAAACTAATGTCAAAGAACCCATTACAACAAAATAAGAATTCTCGCGTTTTCACTTGTCTTGTTAAAATACTAACTAGGATAGATTCCACACAATGATAACAAGTTTCTTCAGTAATTACATTCAACAAAGTAAATATCTCGACAGTTAAATTTTGAGTTAAATTAGGGGTAAAAATAATGATTAAGACTTACTTCCATCCTAATATTAGGGTAGAACAGCAGTGCCTGCAATATTTTAACATCAAATTGTCTTGGTTATTAACAAGAACATGAACTGAAATAGAGGAAGTAACATCTTCGATTATGCGAGAATCAATAATAATTAACACTTTTAGTGTAATTTAACTTAAAAGTAGATTAGACACTATTATTATTAGGTTAATTTTAACATAAAGCTTACAATTTCATAAAACAAATCCTAATTTTGAAGTACCTAATGCCTCATTGGTCTAAAAGGAGCAAGAAGCAAACTGGGAGCTCTACAAGAAACAAAAGAAGAGAAGCATTTCTCTACAAAAAAAAAGAAGATAAAGGAGCATTTCCCTACGAAAAAAGTAAAAGAAGCAGAAGACAGAAAGAAACTGCAGACATATCATAGATGGTGATTTATATGCAAAGATAAAGAAAGCATAAGGACTTAACAAAGTTCAATGGCTGCATTTTGTTTACATATCGTTCTTATATGTTGGGATTTCGAAATTAGGCATCTTTGAACCAGCAACATCAAATGACTATCAATATCTAAGAGCACTAACATTAAGAACCTTTAATCAAATGAAAGAAAATAGAGGAACATTAACAAAGCTGGCAAACCATAAGAAAAAAAATATAACTCAATACGTCAAAAAATAATAATGTAAATGTACCACTCCGCTGTCCTGATTAGAACCACTAGTTATCATTCTATCCAGTAATATCAAACAATAGATATTTCTCTGAAGAAATAACTGTAAAAAACATGTTTTTCTGTAATGAAATTAAATTTATTAGATATCAAGATCTTTTATTGCATGGTTGAAGCAACATTTTCTTTTTCTAACTTCAAGTACTAAATCTTTTTATGACTGCGGAAAGAAGAACAAGGCGAAATAAAACATTACCGGACGTCTTTCTTTGAGTTTTGCATACACCAGATGGCATACCTTCAAAACAAAGGAAAATTAGAGAAAATGGATGAAGGAGACAGAAAGTTGAGGCAGAGGACCAACTCAATCGAAGGCACAATTTTAAACCCCAAATCACCTAAATGTATATTTAAAACAAAAAATATTCAAACTAAATTAAGTTCTACAAATGAACTATACAACATTTGTTGGGATTTAGCAAGTGTGAATGGGAAAAGAAAAGAGAATATATGAAAAGTTAGGGAACTACTTTGGAGGAAAAATTAAAAGTCATTTGCAAAGTGCAAATGAAAAGTCATTTCTCCCATATCGGCAAAAGAAAGGGAACTTATTGTATTTATAGAAGGAAACACTTCCATTACTTCTTAAAGAGCTAAGAAGAAGATGCCCCCTCGCGCTGTCGTCGTCGTCGCTCGATCGGCCACGGCTTTGGCTTTGGATTTGGCAATTGATTTGATTGATAAATTTTTGTTAAGTCAAATAAATCCTGTTAAAATTATCTCTTATAAATTTGCAGGCAACAGTACTTTCCAAAAAGTCGTTATTTTCCTAACAGACACAAATTTCCAAAAAGTTGTTATTTTTTCCAAAAGACACAACTTTCTGGATAAAATGGGTCTGAACAGATCTTACTGAACAGACAGGTTTCTTGCTGAAAATGGCTATATAAGTAAGTCAATTTTTTATTTTTTAAACCACTGAAATTTTTTCTTTCTCTACATTTATTTTTCTCTCAAATAAAATCAAAATTGTCGATCGACTGAGTCTATGTGGCTTGTTGTTGTTCTTAAGTTCATTGAAGTTAAAGAAGTTTGAGGTACCGCTATTTCTTTAACAGGTTTAATCTTTTTAATCTTGGGAGAAATTAATCCATAACCTTGGGTACAATGAGGGGATTAAATTTCTTAAGGACACACAATAGTTTCTGTGGACTCGGATTAATTCTTGTTTTTTTTTGCTTCATCTTATTTCTATTTCTGTTTATTAGCCTTATAAATACAGGTTATTGTAAGATTAACAATCTTAAGAAGTTTAATAGTTTCTGTATTTGAGGTTTCTGCAGATTAAAACCTTTATGGTTTTCTACTCTGCTTGAATTTTTAAAATTCATTCGATTAACGATTAAAAAAACATAAAAATTTTATCGTTAAATAAAAAACAGTTTGTGTAATGATTTGTTCTTTACTCTTAGCATTTCAAATACTTAACTTATCTGCCATTTGTGACAGAAAAAAAGGATTAATTCAAGTCAAACAAATGCTAGAACAGTAAGTGTTGCAACAACATCAGTTGTAGATAATCGTTCAAATGCTGCCTTAGCGCCAGCTGAGAAACCTGCAAAGTTTTCTGGAGTCGACTTTAAGAGATGGCAGCAAAAGATGCTCTTCTATCTCACCACATTGAGTCTGCAGAAGTTCATTAATGAGAATGTTCCTGTTATGTCATATGAAACTCCGACTGATTAATGATTCTTGGTAACAGAAGCATGGACACACTCAGATTTTTTGTGTAAAAATTATATTTTGAGTGGTCTGCAAGATGATCTGTACAATGTGTACAACAATGTCAAAACCTCAAAAGAACTCTGGGATGCTTTAGAAAAGAAGTACAAAACAGAAGATGCTGGAATGAAGAAGTTCATTGTGGCAAAATTTCTGGACTATAAGATGATAGACAGTAAAACTGTCGCCACCCAAGTTCAAGAATTGCAGGTCATAATTCATGATCTCATTGCTGAAGGTATAAATTTATTTAATGCCTATGTTAGAAATATTAAGTTTTCCCTTAATACTCACATAACCTTTAATGTAGGATTGATGGTGAATGATGCTTTTTAAGTGGCTGCAATTATTGAAAAGTTACCTCCATTATGGAAGGACTTTAAAAACTACTTGAAACACAAATGCAAGGAGATGACTATTGAAGATCTCATAGTAAGGTTGAGAATCGAAGAGAATAATAGGGCTGTAGAAAAGAGGTCACGTGGTCATTCAGCAATATTTGGAGTAAATTTTGTTGAAGAAGATCCCACAAAATTAAAGAAAAGAAAGAAACCATCTGGTCCAAAAAGCAATCCTCCTAAGAAGAAATTCAATGGAAACTGCTTTAATTGTGGTAAACATGGATATAGGGCTAATGAATATCGGGGTCCTAAGAAAAACAAGAAAAAGAAGGATCAAGCAAACTTGGCTGAATCCAAAAGAGAAAAGGACGATCTTTGTGTAATGCTTTCAGAATGTAACTTGGTTGAAAATCCAAGAGAATGGTGGATAGATTCTGGTGCCTCATGCCATGTTTGTGTCAACAAAGAATTATTTTCATCATATACTCCAGCACTTACAGATCAAAAATTGTTTATGGCAAACTCCGCTGTTGCAAAGGTGGAAGGAACTGGCAAAGTCCTATTAAAGATGACATCAGGCAAGGTGGTGACTTTGAATAGGGTCTCATATA